AGGTACCTATATATATATATATATAATACATTACTACCGACCTTCATTGTAATTAGTATTACAATGTAATTATATACTAATATTCGTTTTTTTTATATAGTTCTTCATGAAATACACAAGATACACATATTACACAATAAAAGATGTAAAGTTGAATATTTCAATTTCAATTTGGAGTAAATTTTAAATTGTACATTCAATTTCGATTTTTTTAATTTTAAATAAAATTGTATTTCCCGAATTTATATAACAAAATTATAAAAAAAAATTGTTTTCTATATAAGTGTACCTTCTATCGTTTTTATTTTTTTGTAATTTAATGCGCTCTAATATTAAAAAAACAATACAATATCATAGATTCGCGCAGTTGTCGAACACAACTGTTGCACTCGACTCGGAGGATTTCCTCAGGCTTTACTTGGACTGCCGCGCTCGACACTCGCATAGACACTCGTGTAGAATCGTGTCTACTGTCTCATTTCATCGTGTCAATTCGTGGGGGCGATGCGATGTAACTCAAGGCGACTAGCGAGGGCGAGATTCGACGTGATGCGGTCGAGACTGCGAGAGACGAGACGCGACGCGATCGGCGATGTATCACGATGTATGTAACTCGGCTCGGTTCGGTTCGGCGTGCTCGGACTCGTAAGCTCGAGCGAGCTCGAACAGCTCGGTGGCCGGTGGTGCGAGGTGCGCCGTAGTGCGAGTATTCATTTGAGCCTTCAGTAGTAAACACCAATCGGTGTGAGACAGAACGGTGTAGAACGGTGTTGAATGATATTGCCCTGTTACCACGGTATTTGGCGGCTCGGCGTGTTGCGCACGAAAAGGAGCGCACAGTGTTGCACGCATCGTTTCCTAAAAAAAAAAGAAAAAAAAAAGAAAAACATCTGTGATCGCGTCGGGGTCAAAAGATCAGAGGGGATTTGTACTTCGGAGGCGGATCTCTGCATTACGGCGACGGAGTCATCGACACCGTGTGTTATTGGACGTAGCTTCCAACGTGAAATCGTCGTCCTGACGCGTGCGTTTCGAGGGAGAAGATCTACCTGTGCGTACGAGACGAGTACGACGACGTAGTCGACTACGAGCGATCGCACTTGTGACCCGCCACCACCGCCGTCGTCGCCAGTAGGATCCGTTATCCTTACGGGTGAGTTTCCTCAATGAATTCTCTATTCTCAGAATTATTACTACGGATTATTTGTGCGGGTTAGCGCCGACAGCGACGGCGACGGTGACAGCGACCAAGCCGCGTTTAACTGAGATCTGCGGCTGGAAAGACCGCAGAGATATCCTTCCTCTTTAGTCACCCAAGGCGCTTCTTTTACATTGTTTTACGAAGATACGCAATGTTTTTCCCGCCAATCGTAAACTGCACTAACGGATAATTCAAATTGTGACTTAATTTTTACTCGTTTTTTACTCGTTTTTTTCGGGGGCATGAATTATCAGTATCGTGTCTCTCCTTTTTCTCCTCCTTCGTCAAATGTTTTAAAAGTATAAATGTATTTTTTTACATTAAATGAAATACATGAATAATTATGTTTTTTTTTGTAAATCCTCCTTTTTTTTGTAAATAGACGAAGATATGTGATCTTCCAAAAACGTTGGTTAAAGAGGGGGGAGAGAGAGGGAGAGAGAGGGAGAGAGAGAGAGAGAGAGAGAGAGAGAGAGAGTAGAGAGAAAGAGAAGGGCGAATAGCGATTATAATATGTAATTTTAATCATTCTCAAAAAATTAGCACGTTTCGATTAGTGTTAATTGCGAAAATAATAGCACAATCAAATTTCAGTCGAATGTCGGAAATATCATCGTATCGTGACGCACGTGCGTTTGTAAAGAATGGCGCGAAAACATTTACCTGATCAGAGCTGTTACATGACACTGTACACCTGCCACATTCGAAACCTGATCGCTGACAGAGTTCTCTGGTAAAAAAAAATTGATAGAGAATGATAGAAAAATCCTATCGTTTTGAATATGGAATCTAGTAATGAATTTAAATTCATTAATTTGAATCAGATCTTGTAGAAATCTTGTACAAATTTTACAAAAATCCGATA